GGCTCCAACCACCCCTGATACCACGCCCCAAGCCTCGCAGATGGGATAGACATTGGTTTGTCTCTTTCCGTACACTGACGCCCCCTCCTGGGGCTCTCCTTGCCCACTCCGGGCCTTCGCTGCGCCGCCGCCCTCTCTCGGGGCCTTCTCTGCGCTGTTGCCCCCTGTCTGGGCCTTTTCAATAGTGCCCCCTCCTGGGGCCTGCTATGCCCTTACTGGGGCTTCTCGATAATCCCCCCCCTTTCTGGGGCTCTCTCTGCGCCCCCACTCGGGCTTCTAAAATGCCGCTCCCTTCCTTGGGGCTTTCCACGCCCACACCTGGGCTTCTAAAGTATTGCCCCCTTCCTGGGGCTCGTCACGCCCGCACTGGGCTTCTCCATGCTGTCGCCCTCTCTCGGGGTCTTCTCAATAGTGCCCCCTCTCTGGGCTCGTCGTACCCACACTTGGGCTTCTAAAATATTGCCCCCTTCCTGGGGCTGTCACGCCCGCACTGGGGCCTCTCAATTGTTGCCCCGCTCTGGGGCTTGCTACGCCCGCATGGGGCTTCTTAAAAAAGGCTGCCCCTTCCTGGGGCTCGTTGTGCCCATTCTGGCGCTAGGGCCCCCACACCACTGTGGGTCCCTATGAGTATGCTGCACCCACTCAGGCGCTGGGGTCCTCACCCTCTGTTGTGAGCCCCCAATGAAGCCTCCTCCAACCCCTATAGCCTCACCCAAACCACCGGTCTAATAAATAACAACGCCAAAGCAAAACCACAAGCCCCTAGGCTGTAACACAAATTGAAGCCGCCTGGCTATAACTTAACACCACGGCTCAAGCCTCCCGAGCTGCCTTCTGTAACTGCTCAAGCAGTACTTGCGGTTCTCACTGCTTCTAGTGTCATGGCTGAGAGAGCTCCTGCCTCTCTGGCTGCTGGCAGGGAACTGCCCGCCTGGCTTCAGCCCTGGGCTTTATAAGGGCCAGGCCCTGCCTCCTACTGGCAGCTGACTCTCCTTAGTTGCTCCGGCAACCCACAGCTGTACTCCCTAATCACCGCTAGGGCTCCTTAGGCACTGCCAGAGCTTCTCCCTTGCCAGTTTTCCCCTCTCTAGGAGCGGGGCACCGAGGTGCACCGCGACACACAGACATAATGTATATGAGTTGGCATGCATATATAGTCCATGCTCAGCAACATACTTGAACCACGGTCTGTTTTAGACCGACAAGTAATATTGTGAACTCGTATTTGAAGTTAGGGATTTCACTTGATCAGCCAGGCTATGTACAGACATCCCACATCAGTTCAAAAACAGAAACTGATCAGTGTCCTTATAGCTGTATTAAGAGAAGCCTTATGCTTCCCCAGCAGACTGTTTTGATTGCAGCAATTCTATAACCTCTGATTCTTCTAAGTTAAACAAAATCCTCAAACTCATGTGTCATGGACCAAAATGTCCTTGCCTCATTTACTGGAGTACTGGCATAAGGAAAGCAGAATTTTAGCTTTCAGTGCTTGTTCCTTCAAAATCTCTTTCTGTAATAGCCCAGGAAAAGACTATGGTATGCACAACTCATGCAGATCAGGAGAGGGAACCTTTTATTTCAGTAAGCGTTTACTGAGATTAAGTTAAATAAAATACATAACATTTGGTACCACAGTTAAGTTTACAAAGTGGTTAATCTTATTATTGCCATCTACTGAGCCAATGTGGCAAATGAAATGTAAAATGGAGTCTTAACTAAATTTAAATGAGTGTTTTGGGCACTCTGGCCAAAAATATTGCCGACCCCAATCTAACACAACTGAATGATGAAGGGGAAATCTGCTCTGCAGCAAATGGCAATTTATGCCTGCTGCTGAATCTGGGATGAATAATAAAACTCCACCTTCTTAAACCGGTAATAAGCCTAGTCTTCGTTTAGTTCTTATTTGATGTATGTAAGTATGGCCCATATCTAAATCTTCATAGAGTATTTTCTGCATAGGCATGAGTTTCACCCTAAGCTTTTAGTTAATGATATGGCAACAGCTATGTACTGCTTAAAAATCCCAAGTAGTTTCAAGCTTTTAGGAAATGAGATATCTACAAAAAGAAAAAGTTGATTTAGGGGACTAAGGTACCTAACAATTTTGCCTCTCATGAATGTTGTGATGAAGATGCATTCTGTATGCAGTAAGCTGCATCAATACACTGCCACATCACCCTTTAGTGCCACATCAGCACATGGTGCTATCTAAAAAAAGTATTGTTTGTAGAAAATGCCAAGCTATAAATCTACCGGCAGTATTTTGTAAGTATCTGACAACTGCAGCCAGCAGCTGGATAAAAAGAGAAGAGAAACATATTGTGGCATTAATCCAATAGAACTAGTGGTTTGCCAGCCACGCTAATTTACTTTAGGTAAACTCAGTGTAGTTGCTGCTGTACTTTTAAGAATTCATCGGCCTACAAAAATAAAATTGTGCAGATCTCAAATAGCACAGATATGACAGAAGCTACCATATGCATACATTTTGTCATGCACGTAGATGACAACTCACAAGTTTTAGAAATTTCAAAATTAACTTGGTCTAATATTTGGTTGTACTTACTACAGTCCTGTTAAAAAGAACACCAGAAAAATCAGCTTCCTGATTGCTGCTACTTTAGCAACTAACATTAGCTCCACTATATGAGGAATTACTGGGAGGTATCCAGCAGTAGTCTGAGTTGTGCCAATGGAAAGTCAAGAGTTCAAATATGTACATTTCTATCATAGCTGTCAAGTCTTCTAATTTGCCATGTACTACTTATCTTTAGGCTAAACCCTGTGACTCTTCAAGCACAGTGTTTTGGAAGTACATTTTATATCAGTATATCTTTTGCAACATGGCATGTAGAGCCTGTATGTATTTAATCTACTGTAAGGCATGCATTTGCTAGGAACATTGCTGAAAAGAACTGCCCTGTAATTAGGTACTTTCTCTGGATTGCAATTACAATATGGTGCGTTGTCTACTTCAGTGACACTTCACAGGCCAACAAGCACTTCTCAGAACAACAAAAATACAGCCTGTTCAAATAATTTACACTGTGTATTAATATATATCAATAAATATTCTGTGCATTTCTTGCTCATTTGGCAGGCTATGCAATTTGCATAGTCTCAGACTAACACTGTGGTGGCAATTAGCTACAGGTTCAGGATTTGCGGTGTTTATCCAACATTGTGGGCCTGATTTACGGATGTGTTTTAAGCCAGTGTATTCCCACTGAAATGTTTGCTGGGGAGGGAAGGAGTAATTAAACAAATTAACTCATTTCTTCCTGATGATAACATTTTCCTCATAGCTAAGACAAATCAATGCCACGTACAGCTAAAATAGCAGTTTGAGACAGTTATTTTGCTCCAGCTGTAGGTATACCACTTCAGTTCCACAACTGTATGCCAGCAAACTTCCACTGAACTCAATGGTATTGCACTGGAGAAACATCACCGCAGAATAGTTCTGATGCACTGCCATATCGCTCAAGACAAATCAGCATTGTATATATGGATGTAAAAGGCTATTTTATAATCTGAAATGTCTGACACTGTATGTAGTATAAAGCCTCATCCTCTCTCCCACAGAGATAATTCAACATTTTTTCCCTATCTTACATTCCTAGGTCCAGTCTTTTTCAATGTAACGGAGGATATAGCATCAGGCACTAACTGTACATCTCCTTTGAGATGAACCACTCCTCGCCCCTCCATTGGGGTTAATCACTTAAAAGTCTTTTAATCCATTTATTTCCAACTCTCCTCCCTGCCATGACTATTAAGTATACAAAACAGATGTGCTCCCAATGCTTCACTCAGGTTATAGCTTTATAGAAGCTGTCAGTCATTAGTGAAAGCCCTAACTCAGGAGAGCATCTCTGTTCAGAAAATATTTCCAGCACATGCTTAGCTTTAAGATTATGACTCTGTCCCAATTAAGTGAAAGTACTTTTCCAACTCCCCTCCCTGCCATGACTATTAAGTATACAAAACAGATGTGCTCCCAATGCTTCACTCAGGTTATAGCTTTATAGAAGCTGTCAGTCATTAGTGAAAGCCCTAACTCAGGAGAGCATCTCTGTTCAGAAAATATTTCCAGCACATGCTTAGCTTTAAGATTATGACTCTGTCCCAATTAAGTGAAAGTACTGAAATGCTTTCCTTAAATCAGGGGCCAAGGCAAAGGAAAATTACTGGGCTTTTTTAGCAATAAAAATTCATCCCAAATTCCTCTTTCCTGATATAACGGTTGCTCTCCTCAAGGCACAAAAGGGAAGAGAGTCTTCTCCCTCCTACAGAGTAAAAATGTGATAACGAGGGGATCATTTCCAGATATTTCTAATTCCTGACTACTCTGGTAGAATTAAGGAGGAAACTCCTCTTATAAATGCAAGAAATTAAGTTTAAGCTAAAGTGATCTAAAAAGCCTAGGGCATGTTTGATTTTGGGAGGTGAAGGGAAGAATCAGTTCTCAAGGCTGTAGAAACAATCTGCAGCCATGGCCAGTGACACTTAGAATAAGGCTAAAGCTGCAGTTTAGTCATGATGCTGTTAAGAGACTGCTGCAGTTGCTAAATTAGTGCCTCATTTTATCACTACATGTTAAGCAGTGGTACACATTTTGACATACAATTTCAATAATAGCTTGTAAGTGTCAGAAATAATGTAATACATTTAATAATGAGCACAAAGATTATCTAGAAGAGAGCATATTATGCCCTGTTAAAACATAGCTAATCTAGGTAAAACTTATGACAAACCAGACCTTTTCAGTGTTTAATAAACTGGTTAAATCTTCATTTTTAGGGCATCGTCCAAATCAGTTTGGTCACAGATAACTATTTAAAGGCCATTCCAACATTGGCAAATATACCAGGAAAATAACCCAAAGGGGGGAAAAAAAGACTGCCTATTGCCAAAACCCCATATGATTATGCTGAGCATCAATGAGTTTAATTCTGTCAAGATACAAGATAAAGTTTTCTCCAAGTACTTACTCGCCACTGTTATGCAAGACAGGTGCTGGACAGAGAATAAACTTTGATTCCACTTGTATTGCTTTTTCATCTGCAAAACAAAGCATTACATGAGCTACATATATTGCACTACTTAATCAGATGAGAAACTAGAATGTCTGAATATGATGCAGCCTAATGTTCTTCAAAAAACTTTGGATACTGGTCTGGTTCAAAGTTCATCTGACTTCTAGGCCTTAAAAGCAATTAAAACTCTAATTCAAGAAAGCACTTAGGTGTGTCTGTATCCAAATCTTTACAAGACAACAGACAAATCATAACTAAACTGTAAATATAAGCTGAAGTCCCATTAAGCTTAAGTATCCTTCAGGATAGTGATGATTTCCCTAAATCGTAGCTTTAATGAGAAGGTGTTTTTGCTAATACTGTATTGTTAGAGAGTCACTAATAATTAAAAGACAAATGGCTGTTTCTAATGAGCAGGTGTGCACTCCTAACCTCTACACATTATATTCAATAGCAATTACAACAACCACCTAAAATGTCATATATTTATGTGGCATTTCCCATGCTGCAACATCTCAAAGCACTTTCAAAAGCATGGCTACTTTATGAAGCACTTATTTTTATCCCAAACCAAAGCTTGCTACCATAATATCAGGCTGTTTCTTGCTGGTCTGCAAGAGGGACACAGAGGGAAGACACAAGAAATCCCCTGAGCACTTCTGCAGCAACAGGGTGCAACTGTAGTCCTTCTATACACCTGTCTGCATGCCAAAGACCCAAAAGTTTGTGGGAAGAGGTAGAATAGACTGTTGCTCCAATCCCCATACATGCCGCCCTGAGGCATGCAGGCCATAGGTACTAAGAACTCCAGGAGGGATTCTGACTCTTGGAAACAGTCACACTCATTCCACCTGTTTGGCAACCCTGTTCATCAGCCACAGAAATACTCTCACACCAGGAATGTTGTTTAAAAGGTCCACCAATAGGCAACATCCATTCTGCTGTGGTAAGCCCAGGGCAGCTCTTTCCTGCACTTAAAAGGGCCAGATATGCAAGTGCTTAAGAAGCACATTTGGGAAAGGAGTTTGTCACCGGGAAAAACAGAAGGGAGGACCCCAAAATACCAGGGGAGAGCCCCAGGGACAGGGACGCACAGAGGGGAATGAAGGAAAAAACAAGGGTAAAGGGAAATACTTACCCGCAGCGGGACCTGCGGCAAAACCAGAACCCGAGGAGGAACCCGCGCGGATCATCAGCTGCGCCTTTATACAGCTGCGGCTGGCCGGTGACGTCAGCGGCGATCGCCAGCCGGCGGAAATAAAACGGGCCACCGGCAAAGAGGAAGGAGGCAGAAGGGTGCCAGCAAAGGCACCAGCAGGAGGTGGCTGTTCAAAGGTCCCACAGGAGCGAGGAGAGCTGGAGGTTGCTTTCCCCATCAGGGAAGAACCCTCCAGCACAAGCTGCAAGCCGGAGACTGCCGGCTGCAGCAGCAGGAGTTGGAAGCCAGAGGCGGCTCCCTACAGCTGGGAAACTGCATGTAGGAGCAGAAGGGTACAGACAGACCCCGACGCCAGTGGCTATAACGGAGGGGCCGGAAAGGCTAACACAACTCCCTGCGCCAGACCAGGTGGGACTGCTGAGGGCAACAGTGAAGCCGGAGAGGCGTACCAAGTGGATGACGGGAGGCAAAGGCAGCGTGAGGAGCTGTGAAGTACGGCCATCAACAGCGTGATGCCAACCCAGAAAGTAACTAGCGGACAGGCTCCCGCTAAGGGACCACAGGGAGGTCCGAAGACACAAAGAGCTGGGTGTCGGGGGAGAAGAGTAGTAGGGGAGTCCACAGGCCACCCCAGCCATATACAGGGCTTAAACTAGACCCATTGTATCAAAGGCTGGATGGTCAGCAACTTAGCAGAAGGGCCTGGCAAGGGAACTGTTGGATCCCTCGTAGTGTAATATTAGGTTTTCTTTGGGTTTTATGTTTCCCCTTTTTGGAGGGGCTGAGGATCAGAGCTCTTGTCAGAGCCTTAGTGTTAGGTAAACCACGGAGTTGTTTTTTTGGCCTTAGAGAATGAAATGGCAGTCCTGCAACCCGGACAGGGGACCTTAGGATGCCTCAGCAGTAGCAGGAAGGATCCCCCCTTACGAAAGTGGTCAGGGGGCTCAACAATCAGGAGCCTGACTAGGAGGACAACCGTGATCCATCTAGGCATGGTGTAAGGGCGAGGTATAGGGGAAGTGGAGCCTCGCAGAAGATCGCCAGATAAACGTTCCGCCATCGGGAAACCCCACATGGTCGGAACCTCCACTGAAATAATATTCAAAGTCATGGCAGGCAAGATTGGGGAAGACCATATCGAGAGCAAACACCTTCTCGACGGACCACCGGGGACAATAAGGCGAGCACCATTGAACTTCCGGGCCAGAGCGGGCACAGAGTTGTTAAGCCATGGGGATTTACTTCCTCTGTATATGGTTCTTTCTTTGCCAACTTGTAATGCTAGATCTGGGTTAGTAGTTGTGTATGTGTGAATCTCAGTTGGAGAAGTGGGGTGTGCACTGCCATATGCTTCTGTTTTAATGGTAATTTACATAGATTGTTGTTTATTCCACTGTTATGTCTCGCAGGTTTCCTTTTCAGCATTCGGTAATGGTTCTTTACAAACGTTAGGTAAGACATCTGCCGAAATACAGTATCTAACCCCAAAAGAACCTACAAACTTACTGCTTGCGCTGCAACCACCCTGACAAGGAACTCCAAGTTAACAGAGGCTGCCCCATACCAAGAGCTCAATTTTGTCACTGCTATTCCCACTGAACAATATGCATTAGATCCACTTGGCTTGCAAGTGGTGGGATTTTACTGAGAAATGTGCTTTGTTCTCTTCTGGCTTTTTTTTTTTTAAAAAAAAGCAGCTGCAAAGCATATTTGGCATGTGCCAGACATTTTGGTGAACGTGTGCATTTAATGAAAGAGGACAAAAGGAAAAAGAAGGAAAAATGAGTGGGATAAAAAGCTATTGGGCATAGCTGCCTGCGTGATGGGTCCCTGGCAGCATCTTTCACGGGACTGCCCTCCTCTTCTTCTAGCTGTCCATGCTCTGACAAACTAAAACCTGGGGGCAATGTTCTTTCTCTTCTGTTGAGTTCTGGTTTGACTGACTGTCCTTGGTGAGGTGGATACACTACATGCTACACAGTACCCTGCCATGTCATTCCTATCCCTTCGTCTTTCCACTGATCTGATGGCTTCCCAGATACCTCTGATAAAATTAGGTAAAAGGAAAGGAGCCTTGACCAGAAATTTTCTAACAGATGCTGGCAAGACTTCTGGGGGGAGGGGTTCACTGTCTGCTATGCTGCAACATGTGCTAACACTGACACTGGCCACTGGCTGCATCTACACGAGTGGCAGACTGCACAGTTGTTACTGCGCATTTAGTACATGCATAACCAAGTGTTAAATGACTGTGCAGTAACTAGTGTTACTGTGCAGTAGCATCCCCGGCACGGATTTATTCAGATGCAGCTACACAGTAGCTCATTACACTGCACAGCAGCGTTGCATTATGGTTAGTGCCCACCAACGCTACTGCGTGGTAGTGTTTTATGTAGACGCACCTAGTGGGATGTAATATGCTATCACATTCTGCTTTAATAATATTTTCCATCCACTTTGCACAGGTATAAGCTATGACACTGTGCAATACAATTGGTGTCAGAGTCCTGCTGTTTAATGCTGGTTTGATAAGCAACTGGTAATTCTAGAAGAGTTATTAGGATCTGATGCCAGGAATTAGTAGCATTCATGCCATTGCATGTTGGTAGTATTGTCAGCAATAAATACTAACTAGTTAACTAGAGCATTAATCCTCAAAGGAAATGATGAATAATGTGAAGATTGCAAAAAAATACTGAAATATCTTCATAATCACAAAATACACACAGATCCCTACTTATTAGCTTCCAAAAGAAATTTTCAAACCACTGTATGGCTCTTAAATAAGCTACCTTACATTTTTTTAAGGTAAGAAATAGTTGCTATTGTTATTTTAGAGATGGTTAAACTGAGAGATAGGGAACTTACATGAAGTGTTAGTGACCAAAAAATAAGTCAACAGCATGGTGGAAATAATACCCATGAGTTTGGATCACTAGCAACTATATATAAACATTTGGGCTGTGCAAAGCTTCAGTCACTGATTCGATTCACTGGAGATTCAGCGGCCAAACCTCCGAATCGAATCAGGAGACCCTTTAATCTCTCCAAATCGAATCGGAACCCTTCGAATCAATTCAGAAATATTCGGTGATTCGGATATAGACGCAGCTTAAAAAAAAGCCAAAAAAAATTAAAAATTTACATACCTCAAGGTACCAGGCAGCTCATGAACACTGTGATGCTGGGGCAGATGGAGTGTCCTACAGGAGCACAGGAGGCTCCCCAGTTTGCTTGGCAGAAGACCTGAAAGTGGACCAGAAGCACTTCCAGTCCATTTCTGGGTCCGCCAGAGAGCTCACGCTCCTGCCCCACCCTGGTTTGGCAACTGGTGCCTCCTGGGTCTGGGGGGCCATCCAGGATCCCCCTGAACTCGATTGCCAAGCCGGGGGGGGCGGGCGGCGACATACGGGGCCCCACTGCACGCTTGGCGTTAGACCCGGAAGTGGACCGAAAGTACTCCCGGTTCACTGCCAAAAATGCAGGAGTGGGGGGAACTGCACGTTCCCGTGGGTTGCTCCATCCACGCCAGTATCGCAGCTGCATCTGGTACCTCGAGGTATGTAGAAAAAACATTTAAAGCTATGTCTATGGCCAAATCACTGATTCTCCAAATCAGCACTGAATCTACACATTCAGATTCAGCAGAAATCAAATTGGGGACAGTGATCCAAATCAACAAATTGAATCACTGTCCCCGATTCAGGCCAAATCTGAATCTAATATGGCCCATTTCACACACTCTTAATAAACATCAATATCTGAATCCAGGTTGCCCAAATTTCAGATTATTCAGCCTTCAGATATATTTCTTCTAAATCCAAAAAATTGTGCCAAGAGTAAATAAAATGTATTTTTAGATAAGC